TAAAAAAAAAAACATAAACAAAGCATAGTCTCTGGTTTTTAGAAAAAACTAGGTGACTTGTTCATGAAGGACAATTAATAATGTTGGTAAGCTGGGCATGGTGGCACATATAATCCCAGTGCCTAGGGAAGCTGAGGCAGGAGAATCACGAGTTCAAAGGCAGGCTCAACATCTTAGCAAAGTCCTGAGCAACTTGGAGAGATCATGTCTGAAAATAAAATATTAAAAGGGCTGGCGATGGGTTTGGAGTTGTAGCTCAGCGGTAGCACACTCCTCTAGTACGTGCAAGGCCCTGGGTTCGAGCCTCAGCACCACATAAAAGTAAAATAAAGGTACTGCATCCAACTACAACTAAAACAAAACATTTAGAAGTTGGGGGGGGGCTGGTGATGTGGCTTATTGGTTAAGCACCCCAGTATTCAATCCTCAGTACCAAAAAGTGTTAGTGGTAGCTGAATTGCCTACATAAGGCAAATAAGAATAGTATAAAATAAGCAGTAGGGGCTAGGATTGTGGCTCAGGGGTAGAGTGCTCGTCTAGCACATGCGAGGCCCTGGCTTCGATCCTCAGCACCACATAAAAATAAATAAATAAAATAGTTTTCAGCGGACACAACACCTTTGTTTGTATGTGGTGCTGAGGATCGAAGCCGGGCCGCACGCATGCCAGGCCAGCGCGCTACCGCTTGAGCCACATCCTCAGCCCCTTTATTATTTTATTTTTTATTCTGAGACAGGGTCTCCCTAAATTGCCCATACTGACCTAAAAAACTGCAATCCTCCTGCCTCAACCTTCTGAGTAGATGGGACAATAGGCTTAAGACAACACAACTGGCAGTGTGATGTCAAATTTAAAATATATATGAGTTAATTAAAAAATATTTAGCCTGATGCAGTAGCAAGTGCCTGTAATCCCAGGGACTAGGGAAGCTGAGGCAGGAAGATCAAAAATTCCAAAGCAGGGGCTGGGGTTGTGGCACAGTGGTAGAGTGCTGGCCTAGCATATGTGAGATGCTGGGTTCGATACTCAGCACCACATATAAATAAAATTAAAAGTCTAAAAAAATAAATCTTTTTTTAAAAAGAAATGACACAATTAACACACACATTAAAAATTTTTTTTAAATTAAAAACAAAAAGGGGTGGAGAGGGGCTGAGGCTGTATCTCAGTGGCAGAGCACTTGCCTAGCATGTGTGAGGCACTGGGTTCGATCCTTATCACCACATACACATAAAAATAAAGGCATATTTATAAAAAAAGGGGGGGGGGGAATACCACCCCTTGGTTAAATCTCCAGATCCAAAAAAAATTTTTTTTTCATTTGCTGGAATTGGCAGTGTAGTCCAGTGGCAGAATGCTTGCCTAACATGCACCATTCCTTAGTTCATCCCCAGCACCACTAAACAAATTTGTTTATTTAGAAAGGGAAAACACCTTGGATAAATTTGGATGCTGAAGAAGACTAGAAGAACAGACACTGGAACTATAAAAGCAGACAATTTACTAGAGATCAAGGACATTTAAGAAAGAATAGGATAGAAAGTAATTGTTGGCAACGGGAAAAGTACAGTTTCTCTAGAAACAAGCAGGGAGAAAAACAATGATAAAGACAGTCAAATGTAGAGAAGCAGTGGCTCTACAGTCAAGACCTGCATGTGAATCCTGACTTTTTCTACCATAACCATATAATCTTGGACAAGTTTACTCCATGTCTCTGTTTCTCGTCTAACCCGAGGAAAGCAATTCTCATAGAACTGCTGAAAAGATTCAGTAATTCTTGATATACAGTTAATCTCTAAATATAGTAGCTGGAATTTTTTTTAATGCCTCCAAGGAAATATAAAAGATTCACATAATAAAAGATTTCTATTTTCTCTGTAGAATAGATGCTTTGGTCATGATGAGATTAAAACTATGTTTAAGAAGGTAGGAGGGTGGTTCTTAATCTTTTGTAAAAATTTAAGAACGCATTTGAATTTCTTTTTTTTTTTTTTTTTTGTGGCAGTACTGGGGATGGAGCCCAGGAGTGCTCTACCTCTGAGCTATATCCCCAGCCCTTACTGTTTTTCAATTTTTTGAGCCATGGTCTTACCAAACTGCCTAGTTAGCCTCAAACTTGAGATCCTTCTGCCAGATCCTCTAAGTAGCTGGAATTACAAGTATGCACCACTGCACCCATTTTACACTGATGAAAAATATATAACGAGACTGGAGTTGTAGCTCAGTGGTAGAGCACTTGCCTCACATGCATGAGGCCCTGGGTTCGATCCTCAGCACCACATAAATACATTAAAAAAATAGATATTGTGTCCATCTACAACTAAAAAAATATATTTATATATATATATATATATATATATATATATATATATATATATGAATGAATGAATGAATGATAAAGAACATCCAAGTGTGTGATCATGGATATGCTCTTAATGTGACCCCCATTAACAATTCAAAGGAAAGCTTACAAAGATATTCAGATTCCAGGACATAATTTAATCCTAATTATGTCAGGCTAGTGGAGCACATCTGTAATCCCAGTGACTAGGGAAGTTGAAGTAGGATTGCATTCAAGGCCAGCCTTGACAACTTGGTGAGACCCTGTCTCAAAATATTAAGAGCTGGAGCTGGGGATGTAGCTCAGTGGTAAAGCACTTCTGGGTTCAATTCCCAATTTTTAAAAAAATTGTTTGAACAAAAGAAAAAAAAAATTGCTTCCTTTTGATTTATATCCTAACACCTACATAAAGGTATTACATGGCCTTCCAGAAAAGACATTGGATACAGTCAAGAAATCCTAATTTCTTTCCCTCTATACCACCCCTGTACCCAACGGGGACAGAACCCTGAAGCACTTAAACTGAGTCACATACCCTACTTTTTTTATTTTGAAACAAGTTCTCACTAAATTGCCAAAGTTGGCCTCTAATTTGCAATTCTCCTATCTCAGCTTCCCAGATTGCTGGGATTACAGATGTACACAGCCATACCCAACAATAAATCCAGGTTCTGGATTCAGGCCTAGTCTTACCTAGCAAGTCACATGACCTTTTCAGATAGCAGCCCTGAGATATGCTGCAATACTTAACATTATGATTCTATTAGTTGAAATCTCACTTGACTTTGAACAGAAAAAAATGGTACTTTATTTCTCTCTGTTATAATTTAATATGATTTTGAAGATTAGCCTGGGAACCTAACCATCAAAACTTTATTTGTACAGGAAAAAAAAAGTGTGCTCCTATATTTCCATGATGTGGGGGGCAGAGGATTCTGGAAATATCAGGAATGAGTCAGGAATTCCTATCCTGGGAGCTGCCTGGGATATTTTAGCAGCCATTCCTTTTTGAACTATAATATCCAGAACTGGGCCTTATTAAAACCTCCTTAGCATTACAATAATACACAATCCCTGAGGATCTCTAAAGAAAAATCTTCATTAAGTTCTCCTCAAAGACAGCTCCCCACCACCTCTGGTAGTGGGGACTAAACACAGGGGCACTTCACCACTGAGCAACATTCCTAACCCATTTTATTTTACTCTGAGATAGGGTCTTGCTAAGTTGCCCAGACTGGCCTCAAATTTGTGTTCCATGCTTTAGCCTCTGGAGTAGCTGGAATTATAGGTATGTACCACAACACCTGGCTAATAATGGCTATTTAAATTATATTTAAATAGAAACCTAGTAGACCCAAAGAAAGTCTCTCAATTCAATGAAATGTTGCAAAGTAAAGTTTCTATTTCCTCTTCTTTTTTAAAAATCATGCTGGGGGTCGAACTAGGGCCTTATCATGTATGCTAAACATTGGGTATAACACTGAGCTACATCCCCAGTGTTTTTTAAGAGATGAGATCTTTCAGTTACCCAGGCTGGCCTGAACTCCTTATCTCAAGTAATCTTCCTGCCTCAGCCTCTCAATAGAGCTAGGACTGTAGGTATGCACCACTGCCCCCTGGGAAGAAATCCTTTTCTAGTGGAAGGAGAAAAAAAATCTTCCCAGAATACTTATATACTCATCCTAAGAGCTGGGGTTGTATGGGGTTGGAGTTTAGTGACAGAGCACTTGTTTAGCATGTAGGAGGCCCTAGGTTCAAGCCCCAGCACCACCACCAAAAAAAAAAAAAAAAAGCTATTTTTTGGAATAAGGTACACCTACTTTCCAAGATAGAACTAATTTAAATAGCTTTCTTTTAGCCAACTACTTACTATGTTAAAAGTTCCCAGCATTTCACAGGAATATTTGCTAATTTGTTTCATCGTTTTGATAGGAATTCATTTAGATGGAGCCCAGGAGGACCTTCCACCTGCTAGGTGAGAATACTCCCACTGAACTACATCCCAGCCCTCCTCTGATGATAGTAATATACAATCCAAATCTTTAGTATTTCTTCCACATGGTGCTAGAGATTCAGCCTAAGGCTTTGTGCATGCTAGGGGAGCACGCCACAACCCAAGCTACGTCCCCAGCCCCCAGTCAACTTTTAAGTAATATTTTAAAATTTATTACTGTTACAGTATTACAACTCCTTTCCCACATCCTTAGGAATCACACTTGAACCAGGTGCAATGAGACAATGACACACACCTATAATCCCAGCAACCCAGGAGGCAAGTGGATCTCAATATATATAAAGGGCTGGGGACATAGCTCAGTCTTAGAGTGCCTCTTGAGTCAATCCCCAGTGCAAAAAAGAAAAAGAAGGAAAAATCATTACTCTGGTAACCTCTCAACCTCAAGATATTTTGAAAGTGTACCATCTATAAAAAGATGAGTAACAACATGAAACAGATCATAACGAAAAATAAGATGTATGGACTAGGGTTGTAGCTCAATGGTAGAGCACTTGGCTTAGCACATGTGAGGCACTGAGTTCAATTCTCAGCACCAGATAAAAAATAAATAGAGGTATGATATCCATCTACAACTAAAATATATATTTAAAAAAAAAAAAAGAATAAGATGGGGCTGGGGGTATAGCTCAGTACAGCACTTGCCTCACACATGTGAGGCCATGGGTTCAATCCTCAGCAACACAGAAATAATAAAAACAACGGGCTGGGGATGTGGCTAAAGCGGTAGCATGCTCGCCTGGCACGCGTGCGGCCCGGGTTCGATCCTTAGCACCACAAAGATGTTGTGTCCGCCGAAAACTAAAAAAAAAAAGAAATAATAAAAACAAAAATATTGTATCCACCTACAACTAAAAAAATATATATTTTTTAAAAAAAGGATAAGATATATACCTCTAAATGGGATTAAATCTATTAAATTGATGTTTCCTATAACCTCACACCACAATATAAAGCTAGGTGCAGTAGCAGGCACTTGTATTCCCAGCAACTGAGGAGGAAAATCATAGGTTCTAAGCCAGCCTGGGCAACTTTGTGAGATAGTCTCAAAATAAAAAAAGGGTGGGAGATGTAGCTCAGTATTAGAGTACTTGTCTAGCATGCCTTTCGCACTGGGTTCAATCCTCAGTACTAAAAAAGAGAAGAAAAAAAATTTTGATTAGGTTGCCAAAAATCTGGACTTTCAGCTTCTCTTTCATGGGTAGGAAAAAAAGGAAGATCTGGCAACACTGGGCCCAAGGATCTTGGCAATGGCAACATTTGGAGGGAACAGGGTAGCAGCTGCCCTCATCTGACACAACACATGCATTTGCTAATTCTCTTCTTTCTTCTTGCTCACTTTGGTTACCTGCCTGGATTTCATAGTCATCAGAGTTTTAAATCTTTAGCCAAAAACTTCATCTTTTTGTTTTAGGAGGCTTAAAAGATTTAAGGCAGCTAAAAAATAAAATCTTAAACAAAAAACAGAATAGCATAATATATATTAGGTGATGTTTTAAAGCTAGTATACCAAATGTTAACTATAACTAGAAGTAGCAAGGGCACCATTAGGATATCTTTTTTTTTTTTTAATAATTATTTTTTAGGTGTAGATGGACATAATACAATGCCTTTTTATTTTGATGTGGTGCTGAGGTTCCAACCCAGGTCCTACCCGTGCTAGGCGAGCGCTCTACCGCTGAGCCACAATCCCAGCCCCAAGGATATCTTTTAAATGTACATGACTCTATTACTATTAAAAAAGAAGCTTGTCAGATATGGTTACACATGCCTATAATCCCAGCAACTCAAGAGGCTGAGGCAGGAGGACTGCAAATTCAAGATGAGTCTCAACAGCTTAGAAAGGCCCTAAGCAACTTAGTGAGATCTTGTCTCAAAATAAAAGAGCTGGGGATGTGACTGACTCCGTGATAAAGCACCTCTGGGTTCAATCCCCAGCACCAATTAAAAAAAAAAAAAAAAAAAAAAAACTTTCAGTATCCAAAGTTTGGTCAATCTTCAAATCCTCAAAGATCAAGATACTGACCCTTTAACCTTCCTAAAAAATACAGAAATTAACTTTGTATGTCAGTATTATGGCACTTACAAAAGAACCTCTGGCATCTATATAGCAAAAGAAAAACAGGAAGCAAGTCAAAAAGGTCTCTGATCTTCCGGGGACCACACAATTCACATAACACATGAACCCTCTTCACTCAGAGCCTACTAGATCTTATTTTAGACACAATTTTAATAAGCTCCATGATCTGGTTTCTTAGCCCACAACAGATGAGATGCAGCCAACTGGAAAAGGGATGGGGGTGGTGCTTCAAGGCACTCAAAGCATCAAAATCAAAGCTGAAGACCTATATAGTCAGCAGAAAAACCTCAAAACATAGCAGACCAGAGCCATTTAGTATAGATACAAAAACCCCAGAGGATCTCAACCTTTGCCAGAACTACACTGTATATTCATAATAATCCTCTTTGATATATTCTGCTTAAAGCATAGGTCTGACAACCTTAAACTGTATCTCAAAATAAAGCCCTTCAAAAGCTTTTTCCAAAAAAGACATGGCATTTCCTCAGCACAGGGGAAAAAAAAAAGATTTGAAGACTGCCAAATTCAGATACAAATAGTGTCCCTCTGTCAAAGAAACAAGATACTAAATTCCTAAAAATGCCATGTCAAATGTGGTTTTTCTTAGAAAAATTTTATTGGGGGCTAGTGTTGTGGCTCAGCGGTAGAGTGCTCGTCTCGCACACACGGGACCCTGGGTTCGATCCTCAGCACTATGTAAAAAATAAATGAGTGAAATAAAGATATTGTGTCCAACTATAAAATAAATACTTAAAAAAAAAAGAAAAATTTTATTGGAATCCAGATGCAGTTCTTGACATCTAAAGTTGAAAAGGCATTTAAGGAGAATTATTATTTCAGAAAATTATAATTGAGGGCTGGGGTTGTGGCTCAGTGGTAGAGTGCTTGCCTCACATGTGTGAGGCACTGGGTTCAATTCTCAGCACCACATATAAATAAATGAATAAAATAAAGGTCCATCAAACTAAAAAATAAAAAAAAAAAAAGAAAATTATAATTGAGAAGGTTCAAGACCAAGATCAATATAAAACAAGTATGTTACTGGCCATAGTGGCACATAACTGTAATCTAGAGGCTGAGACAGGAAGATAACAAATTTGAGGCCAACCTAAGAAATTTAGCAAGGCCCTCAGCAAATTGGTGAGACCCTGTCTCTAAATAAAAAATAAAAAGGTCTGGGGATGTAACTCTGGTAAAGCACCCCTGAGTTCAAACCCCAGTATTAAAAGAAAAAAAAAAAAAAAAGATAAGCAAGTGTCTTGCAGATTCCATTAGAGATACACTACTAGGACTGAGGATAAGATGGGACTGACTGCTCTGCCATTCAGCCTAAAATGGGCATCATATGAAAAGTAAAAAAACTTAATTCCATCTTGTTTTCATAATCTTTGAATGGTATACCAGAAATAAATTTCATTTTTCTAATCTCTGGTCTCTGAGAAGTCAAGCCACACTTTGAAGAAGCCTTTAGTTAAAAACTAGGAAAAAAAGGAATAGCAATTTTAAAAGTTCAAGCATTGCCAAGGGTGGTGGTACATGCCTGTGATCTCAGTAACTTGGGAAGCTGAGGCAGAAGGACTGCAAGTTCAAGGCCATCCTCAGTAGTGAAGCCCTAAAACAACTTGGGTGAGAACCTGTCTCAAAAAAAAAAAAAAAGGGTCGGAGATGTGACTCAGTGGTTAAGCATCTGTGGTACCATTTTAAAAAAAAAAAAAAATCAAGCTATCGTTTCATTTCTAAACTTGATTTTATTATAAAAAATTTATTCCTTAAAAATATGTAGTAACATGCCAGGATGATGGGGCACACCTATAATCCCAGAGACTCAGGAGACCAAGGCAGGAGGATTGCAAGTTTGAGGACAGCCTCAACAATTTATACAGACCCTGTGTTAAACTTAAAGGGGGGGGGGGGGAGAGGCTGCAGATGTATCTCAGTGGTAAAGTCTCCTAGATTCAATCCCCAGTACCAAAACTAAACTTAAAAAAAAAAAAAAATGTAGCTGGGCCATGTGGCATATGCTTTCTGTAAACCCCAGGAACTGAGGAGGCTGATGCAGAAGGATCGCAAATTTTGTGGCCAGCCTTAACAACTTCGTGAGTCTCAAAATAAAAAGAGCTGGAGATGTAGCTCTATGACAAAGCTTTCTGGGTTCAATCCCCGGTATCAAAAAGGAAAAAAAAAAAAAGATGTAGTAACTCAGAAGAAATCACATTACTGGGGGCAAGTAGCAAGTACAATTAGATTAAAATGTTGTTTGTAATCAAAATGCTATTTTCAATCAATGTAGGGATTAAATGCTACAATTCTTGATCTGATAGTTATCACATAGTATACTCAGTTGTAGAAGAGCACAATCCTCTATAGGTATAAACCAAGTGACATCTCCAAGTTGGTAACGTCCCAGTTAGACTCTAGAAGTACTTAGTAACTCCTAAACACCTCAAAAATACATATATGTTTTTACTTGGATGATTATCTCTCAATTGTGCTTCTGCACCTTAAATGACTCTACCAGAAGCCTTTACTTAAGGTTCACATTTTTTTAACAAATATCCTGCTTCATTTTAGTATAAGATTTATTGTCTAAAGTCTGCCATTTTTCATTTGTAAGAACTGAAGCCAAAAAAGTGGGTAAGAAGCTAAACTAACCTATAGTAGGTGATGGGACTCATTGTACTCATTTAAAGGTCTTGATTGATCAAGAATGAAGTGAGGACTAGCCAGAGAGTGCAGTTCCCGGTTATTCCAGAGGATAAGGTAGGAGAATCACAAATTCTAGGCCAGGTCAGGCAACTCAGCCAGACCCTGTCTCAAAATAAAAAAAGGGATGGTGATGTGGGCTGGGGTTATAGCTCAATGGTACAGCACTTGCCTAGCATGTGTGAGGCACTGGGTTCGATCCTCAGCACCACATAAAAATAAATAAAAAAAAGGTACCATTAAAAAAAAAAAAATCAAGCTATCATTTTTTAATTTCTAAATTTGATTTTATTATTAAAATTTATAAGGATATTTTGAAGAAAATCGATTCCTCAAAAATATGTAGTAACATGCCAGGTATGATGGGGCACACCTGTAATCCCAGAGACTCAGGAGACCAAGGCAGGAGGATTGCAAGTTTGAGGACAGCCTCAACAATTTAGACAGACCATCTACAATTAAAAAAAAAAAAAAAAATTTTAAAGGGGGGGAGAGGAGGGGATGTAGCTCAATGGCAAGTGGCCAGGGGTTCAACCTTCAGTACAGTAGCAACAAGAATGAAATGAGGATCAACTACTGAACTGAGGTGTTTAAACTGTCAATCTGCATCCTAACTTGGTTTAAGGCAAAGTAAAAAATGGTTCTCTTCCTCCTGCATTCCCACCACAGCGTTCAGAATGGATAATCCCAGGACCTACTTCTCACTAAGCAGCTAAAAGTTTAATTCAGCCAATCTGAGTAGCCAAGCAAAACACCTAACAAAAACCACCAATGGTGTCTCCCCACTTCCAAGAACAAAAAAATTACAGTAAGTGGCACTAAAAAAATTACAATAGCCAGGTGTGGTGGCACACGACTGAAATCCCATTGACTACTAAGGCTGAGGTAGAAGGGTTGCAAATTGGAAGACATCCTCGGCAACTTAAGGAGGTCCTAATCAACTTAGAAAGACTCTGTCTCACAGTAGTTAAATAAAGAGAAGTTGGAATGTGTCTCAGTAATAAGGCTCCCCTGGGTTCAATCCCCAGCGCCCCAAAAATAAAGTAAAATAAAAATAAAAGGCTACAATATTAGATAAAGAACCCTAAATTTTCAAGACAAGCCCACACTCTTGATGCATAGGAAAACCTCCTTATCCATAACTAAACGAATAACCTTTCATTTCGAAGAGCAAAGAAATTCTTTCTCGTCGAAAATCAAAAGGGTCTCCCTGAACATACAACACTGTGTTAAGTCTATTTTGTGAATAGACGGTGAAAGGCTTCTGTGTGTAATTTCTCCAGTGGTTTTCAATGTTCAGTTTTTGAACTGGCTCCTACCCTTGACAATTTAACAGTTTTTCTATCAGATCTAATCTTGCAAAACTGAAGTGATAGTTTCTGACTACATATGGCAACCTCAAGGAATAAAAGGCTTCTCCCTCTACTTCCCTCCTCCTTTCTAAGAGTCACATTTTTTTCCTTCTAAACTTCCTACTCTAGCACTTTCTGCTAGTCAGATGGACCGAAGTATACAGTCACCAAAGAGGTAAGTGAACTCAAGAAATAGTTGTGGATCGGGCAATACAGCTTCCTCCGCCGGCCCAAGAGAGGGTCCCTGAGCCCAGGCAGTTCTCAGAAGGGAGCCAGGGCGGAGACCGGTGGAGGAGCCCTTTCGAGCTCTGTCTATGGGGACTCCTAACGCCCTCGCACCACCCAACCCCTAGTTTAGCTGGACAATGCCTTGAAGCGCAGCCGCCCCAGGACGGAGAGACACCCGGGGACTCCACACCACGCGGGCCCGGCAAGGCAGACAGGAGGAACACTAGGAGTGGGAACACCTCCGGCCTAAGCACGAGCCGCGCGCCGGGGCCTCCACGGGCGCCATCACTGGGAGTGGGGTGTGAAGGCCGCCCCGCGGGGCCAGCGCCGGCAGCGAGAACCAGAGGCCGCGAGCCCGGCGGAGGCGACGGCGGGAAGTGCAGGCCGCAGCTTGCTCAGGAGGCCAGCCCAGCGGCCCATCCCCGTAGTCGACCTCGGGACGCTTACCTTGTGGATTCTCTTCAGAGCCATGGTGGGAGGCGGTGGAGGTGGCAGCGGCCCCCGGGCCGGGGGCGGGGGAGGGGTGGGGAAGGGACGAGGGGGCCTAAGGCCGCCTCGGCAGTCGCGGGTCGGCCGGAGAAGATGGGGAGTTCGGGTGCGCGGGTCCGACAAGACAAGCTGAGGGCTGGGGCCCACTCAGCTTCTGGGCCTGCCGCAGCAGTCACCGCATCACCCGGCGGCGGCCCCTTTATGCGCTGCCGCCCCAGCCGCCGCCGCCGCCGTAGCTGCCTCTTCCTCCCAGTCTCAGAGCCTCCACAGCCGCCACGGATCCCTCCGCCTGGAGCAAGAGCCCGAGTCTCCGGCTCAGCAGGCGCCTCTCGGTCGGACAGCGAAAGGAACTGCCTGCCCTCCGGCCTGCTGCAGGTGGACCAAGGGACGCGCGGGCGGGCGGGCGGGCGGCGCCGCCGGGGTGGGGCCGCCAGAGCGCGGGGTGGGCCCAGGCCGAGGGGCAGGTCGGGAGGCGCGGGGATTGGCGGTCCAGCGAGGGAGGGCCGGGCCGCGCCGGCGGCGGAGGGATACGGTCCGCCCCTGTGAGTACCTTACGCACCGTCGCTGTCGCCGCCAGGGCCGCCACGGCCGAGGGGATGACGCCGCGAAGCGCTGGGAGGAGATCTCGCGAGAGTCGAGGAGCAGGCGGGTTCTGGATGCTCTGGCGCCAGGACCCTTTAGTTCCCAGCGCCTGATGTCTTTCGTGCGTGTTGTCGAGGATAAACAAATATTTAAAGGCACATGTTTTGCGTGTCGCTTTACCATCCCGAACCAATCCCGGAAGGAGGCACTTAATCCCATTGCAACGTCCCCGAAAGAGGAAGGCACTTGTCCACTGTCACACAGCTCTAGTCGCAAAACTAGGACTTTTCTGAGGTCTAATCAGATGCCTTTCCAGAAACTGTGGTAGTAGCCTGGACACCCGCTGGGAATGAAATTCCTCGAGCTTGGGCGGGCAACCCCAGAAGATCTTGTTCTGTCCTGAGCCACTGGCATATCTACCTTAAGAGAGGTGTCCCTTGGCTTGGTAAATTGTAAAAAAAAGCACTTTACCAAGTGCTTCAGGAAAAAAATTAAAAACTATATAGTGTGTGCTCCAGTAATTAAAAATCAACCATGTGTTCCAGATCATCAGGAATACCTATTGATAAGCAAACCTGGAATACATGCATTTGTTTTTTAGAAGGTGGGGACAAACTAATTCACTGAGCACATACTCTGTGCAGAGATCTACATTAAGACGAGAATGAGCTACCAGGCCGGGCCATCCCCAAACCTTTTTATTTTTTATTCTGAGACAGTATCTCGATAAATTGCTGAGGGCCTCGCTAAATTGCTGATGCTGGCGTTGAACTTTTGATCCAACAATCTTCCTGCCTCAGCCTGCCAAGCCACTGGGATTACAAACCAGCGCCACCGCTCAGGGCAGTGCCCACCCCCACCTTTTTCTATTCCATCTACTGGAAAGGATTTTGCCTTCATTGTTTCTCACTCCTAAATTTATTAAAGAAAAAAAAAACTACAGCCCAATTAAGGAAAGGATCTTGCCACAGTCACAGCAGGTGAGTGTGGCAAGATTTATACTGTCTCATATACTGAACAGAGAAGGGTTAAAATTAGGGCAGAGCCACTGTGGACCCAACGGGGAATAAAGATATTATATATAATACCCTTATTTTTCGTTTTACTATCTGTAGCAACTATAATGGTGTCCCTTTTTCCTGACATTAGTAAAGTGTGTTTTCTCTCCTTTATTATTATTTATTTATTGGGGATAAATGTAGCATAGGATTTATCAATTTAAATAATTCCTCCAGGGGCTGGGGATATAATATGCTCAGTAGTAGAGCACTTGCTCAGCTGCAAAAAATAAAATTTAAAAAAAAAGTTGTTTTTTTGTTTTGTTTGGTTGTTGTTGTTGTTGTTTTTGTTTTTACTAGGGATTGAACTCAGGGACACTTAACTACTGAGCCACATCCCCAGCCCTTTTTACTTTTTATTCTGAGAAAGAATCTTGATAAGTTGCTTAGAGCCTGGTTAAGTTGCTGAGGCTAGCTTTAAACTTGTGATCCTTCTGCCTCAGCCTCCTGAGTCACATAAATTGATGAGGGTCTAAATTGCTGACATTGATCTTGAACCATGTTCAACAAGAACAGTTTGTGTCCTTGTTGTTTTCTCTATTGTTCAATCCATTTCCTATTTTATTGACTTCTGCTCTTATTATTTTCTTTTTACCTACTTTGGATTTAATTTGTTTCTTTCCTCTTGAAGTAGGAGCTTAAATCACTGGGGTTTTTTTGATTTTTGTTTTTTTTTGTGTGTGTGTGTGTGTATTAGAGATTGAACCCAGGGATTCACTCATATTGAGCATGTGTTCTACCATGAACTACTGCCTCAACCCCACACTTTTCCTTTTCTCTAAAAGTACTTCTTTCCAGGGACTGTGGTTTACACCTGCAATCCCAGCAATTTGGTAGTCTGAGGCAGGAGGATGGCAAGTTCAAGGCCAACTTCAGCAACTTAGCAAGCCCCTCAGAAACTTAGCAAGACCCTGTCTCAAACTAAAAAGTGAAAAGAGCTAGGATGTAGCTAAGTAATAAAGTGTTAGTAAAGTGCTCCCGGTTTCAATCCCAAGCACCAGAAATCCCAGTAGGGGGAAAAAAAAAAACTTATTAATAAAGTACCAAAAGCGTGCTGCTTTTGTTGTATTCCCCTCATTTGATATGTTGTGTTTTCAGTTTTGTTCAGCTCTAAATTTTTTGTTTGTTTCATTTGTGGTGCTAGGGGTCTAACCCAGGGTCATACTAGATAAGCTCTCTACCATTGAGCAACATCACCAGCCCATCTAATTTTCTAATTTACTTTGTGATCTATTCTTTAACCAAAGTTAATTTTCAAGTATTTTGGAATTTATTAGTCATCAGGGAAATACAAGTTAAAACCACAATAAGATGCCATTTGACACTGTCTAGAATGGCTAAATTAAAAAACATTAACAATAATTAGTAATGACAAGAATGTACAGTAATTGGAACTCTCATATATTGCCAATGGGAGTGTAACATGATACAACCAGTTCAGAGAATTGTTGGTAATTTCTTATAAAAGTAAACACACCCATATGACCTAGCAACTTTATTATTGAGTAGTTACTCAAGAAAAGTGAAAATATATATTCACAAAAGTTTTGTATATAAATATTCATAGCATCTTTATTCATATGTAGCCCCAAACTGGAGACAGCCCAAATGTCCATCAATAGGAGAATGGAACAGCCCACTCTGATATAGTCATACAATGGAATGCTTCTCAACAACAACAACAAAAAACAAATAATTGAACTAGGGGTTATAGCTTAGTAGTAGTAGAGCACTTGTCTAACATGCTTGAGGCCCTTGATTTGATACCTAGCACTGGAGGGAAAAAAAAAAAAGAGAAAGAACCAATTATTGATGCACTCAATAGCATGCATGAATCTCAAAATGATTATATTAAACAAAAGAAGCAAGACACAGAAGAATATGGATTGTATGATTCCATTCACATGAAACCCCAAAATAGACAAACCCTATTTGGTGTTGAATTCAGGAAATGATTGCCATTGTTGGGAAGTGATTTACCAAGAAAGGAATTGAAGAAATTTTCTGGGGTAATGTAAATGTACCAAATGTTGTTTTGGGTGGAAGTTACACAGCTATATACAATTGTCAAAATTTATGGATCTGAATGTTAAAGGTCTGCACATGTTATTTAAGTTGCATATATACATATAAACAATATTATAAATTTGTACAGAGTGTGTAAATTTTCTTATGTAATAAATTTGTCCTTGGGGTGATTTTTCCTCCCACTCATTCTACATACAGCCCTTGATTTACCTTCCATTATTTTTCTAAAATTGTGAGCACACTGCATATTCTTGAAGTTTGTTTTTGTTGTTGTCTGGTTGTTTGTTTTTGTACTGGGAATTGAACCTAGGAGTACTTAACCACTTAGCTATATCCCAACCCTTTTTTATTTAAGTATTTTTTTAGTTGTCGATAGACCTTTATTTTATCTATCTATCTATCTATCTATCTATCTATTTATTTGCAGTGCTGAAAATCAACTCAGTGCCTGACATATGCTAGGCAAGCACTTTACCACTGAGCTTCAACCCCAGTCCCCTTTTTTATTCTTTATTTTGAGAAAGGGTCTCACTAAATTGCTTAGGACCTTGCTAAATTGCTGAGGCTAGCCTTGAACTTGTGATCCTCCTGCCTCTACTTCCAAAGCTGCTGGGATTACAGGCATGCACCACCACACCCAGCCATGTGATATTTTTTAAGGTATGGTTTTAGTCTTAAAATGAAAGAATGTCCAGGGGCTGGGGCTGTAGCTCAGTGGCAGAGCACTTGCCTGGCATGCGTGAGGCACTGGGTTCGATCTTCAGGACCACATAAAAATAAACAAGTAAAATAAAGAAACTGTGTCCATCTACAACTACAAAAAAAAAAAATTAAATGTAAGAATGTCCATAAATAGTCTAGATGTCTTAAGTTGATACTACCATTATAGGCTGTCTATTAGAGGTTAACTAGTAGCAGCTAATCTCTTTCTTTGAAAAGATGGACTTTGTGAGTCTGAAGCAGCTTATATATTCATGGTAAAATATCAGAGCAGTAGTTTATTGAAGGAATTGCACTTGATTTTACATTGTTTGTGCATAGCCACCCTCTCTTGTTATATAGCTCGATTTGGGATGTGTTCTGCCTACCAGCATTTATTCTTTTGTTGGAGTCTAGTGCCATATTCATGCCTACTTCATAGAAATTGATAAGAAATCAAACTTAGTGTGGTGGTGCATACTTGTAAACCCATCAATTCAGGAGGCTAAGGCAGAAGGATCCCAAGTTTGAGGCTAGCCTCAGCAATTTAGGGAGACCCTGTCTCAAAATAAAAAATAAAAAAGGACTAAGGAGCCTGTAATTCCAGCAGCTTGGGAGGCTGAAGCAGGAGGGTCACAAGTTCAAAGCCAGCCTCAGCTAAATTTAGCAAGCCTAAGCAATTAGCAAGACTCTGTCTCAAAAAATAAAAAAGGACTAGGAATGTGGCTCAGTGGTTGAGTGCCCCTGGGTTCAATCTCTTGTACAAAGAAAAAGGATTCAGCTTGATGGAAGATACCTAGTAGAGCAATCCTCAGTACCACAAAAAAAAAAAAGGAAGAAAGAGAAATAAATGACACAGGCTTTGTGCCACCTGAGTCTTATACACTTCCTTAGCTTTGTTGCAGTCTGATTTTGGCCTAAGAGTCATCTCTGTCAGGAAGCCTTCCTGACCAGTAACCCTAGATTAGGTTAGGGGCCCTGATTGGAGTCCTTCCAGAGATTGACCACACTTGATTGTAATTGTCAAACAACTGTTTCACTCAATAGACTGTC